CTGGTAGTTATGGAGTTTTCCTAAAATGGGGGTTCCCCAAGACCATAGGTTCCAATAATCAAATGATCTAATTTTGGATGATTTTTTGGGGTCCCATCATTTTGGGAACCCCGATATAAATATGTATATATATATATATAATATGTATATATATATATATATATGTATATATATATTGCAAATCTATACCTACCAATGCCCAAGAATCCCAGTCCTTGAATGCTTCTGCTGTGCTAGTTACTCCCTAAGTAACTTCCCTGCCTAGACCCTGTCTGTCCGTGGCCTTTTGGTCTTGTAGTCCTCACCCGCCCTCCACTGGGCATGTCGCAAATGGCAGCGAAGGATGAACAGCGGTCGGCCGGCAAATGGAACGGTGGATTCATGTCACAGTCATGCATGTCCATGAACAGCACATTCACACTCATTAAAAATCCAAAACTTTTTTGCAGGGTCAAATTGGGTTTTCATGGACATGATTTCCTTGATGAATCCATTTGAGCCGGTCACGTTTACTTGCTCTCAGCTTGAGGCTTTCTCCTTCATCAAACAAACTGAACTTGCCAGTCCGCAGACTCTCCCTAAGTACAGATGCGTCCATTGATTTCGTCAGGGAGTCAGCCAACATAGCTTGAGTGCTGATCCATCGCATTGCTACATTCTCCTGCAACCTTTCTCGAATTAAAAGACATTCCAAGGTGGTTCGATATTCCGAGCAGCTGGGTGTTGAAGTCTTTGTTGCGGTATCGTAGACCGACTTGCAATCAGTCACAGCACTAGCCAAAGGTGCCCTACTCAAAATCTTTCCAACATCACTCCAATCTACAGCAGGATTCTTCAACCATTCCCAACACACACGGATATATCCCAGACGGTCAAGGGCCGAGCTTAAAGAGATGGCCTCTGCGCTCAATGTGGATGTCACCACACGAGGAATCCTCTTCGAACTCCAAGCCATTGGACAGATCACTGTCCTTTCATTTTGGGCAAGCTTGAGATCCGTTGAGAAGATCAGACATCCCTGTCGTGAAGCCAAATCCTTGTTGGTGGAAAAGGATGCATCAGAAATGAACAAAAAGTCACTTGATGTTGTGGAATGGGAACCACCATCAAACACAAACTGTTTTTCTTTCCCTCCATGAGCACTCTATTGGCTTCTAACAGGTGATGCACTTTGCCTCTAGTCACCATGGATTGAAGATGGCCTGTCTTTGCAGCAAGATCTGGCCTGGTATGTACAGCAGCAAATTGAAGACTACCGCACAATCTCCGCAGTTGTTGGACTTCACGATCGTTGAGATCCTCATTTGGGTTATTTCTTCGATGCTTGGGGACCTCAATGGGTTCAATCTTACGCAAATAGTCAATCTGATCCATCTCAATTGACCCATCATCCCACTGCTGATACCTAACCCCACAAAACTCAAAAGATCCCTCATTATACGCCCCAAAATCATAGATCCCACGAAGTTTTTCCAACACTTGGTGAAAATACTGGTCACCTCCACCGATGCCGTCGTCGACATGGATACCCAGGACACCCCGGACAATTGGTTGTCCAGTCTTATTGTCAGGTGTGACAAGGCTGAAAAGGCAACCATCTAGAGGACAGGCAATGAACCCCAGTTCTTCTAAGGTGGCTCGAAAAGCTTGGTACCAGAGGTAAGGAGCATCTATCCTACCATACGCACCCCCAGTAAGGGCACACTGATCACCCTCTTCCATCTCTAGCCCCTTCTGAAGTTCTGGTGGTGCATGGATCCCAAGGGATCTGCCATCTCCCTCTCCTTTGAGGAAAGCCGTAGAAATGTCAAAATTTACCAGGCGCCACTTTCGGGAGGAGACTTGTTGAAGCAACAGCTGACGACCATCCTTTGATAAAGTCGGTGCATCATTAGGTATCCCCTGAATGCCAGGGTCCTCAAATCCCAACACAACAAGTCTCGCTTTTGCTCTCCTCTCTGAGCAGCCAGCGGCTGGTGGTTTCCATGTGAGAATCCACCTGCAACGCATTACTTGTTCAGGACTCAGTGAACCTTTTGTCACCTTCTTTACGGTTCCATGATCCAACCAGGCTTTTACTTCTTTTTGTTTTGCTGCATCAAAAAGACTGCGATCACTGGCCGATAAACCCCTATAGTTTACCTCAACCCGTTTCCTCTTCTCCCCGGTGGTCAACCAGATTTGTTCAAACATTCCTGGTTCCTCACAGAACGCCTGTGCTACTTGGGTGTCCCAGTCAAAATCATTCAACAACACTTCCCAAACACCACTAACAGGTTCAACACAAATATCATCACCAAATAAAGCATCATCCCCACTACCATCGGACCCCCATTCTGGCACCGGCACTTCAAAAGGTTGTGGTTCCTGAGATAGTTCCTGTTCAGGAGACTCTTCAGTTTCATCCATTTTGGATGTTTGGTTTTCTTCTGGGAAGTTCTCGTTCTCTGGTTGGCTTGTCAGGTCTGATGTGTTCATGGGAGTCCCAGGTGAATATTCTTCAGGATTATCTTCACGGGGACCCTCTTCTTCATCAGGGACATCATCCAACTCCAGATAGTTTCTCCCCTGGGGTTTTTCATCGATGACCTGGCCATCAGAGTTCTGTGGCAAATTGGAGTACTCCCTCAAGGAAGCAGGTCGAATTTGTTCAGGACTTGCACGGACCAATCTTCCCAGATGACTCAACCAAACAACACGTTTATGCTCAACAGCTATCACTTGTGCTGGTCCATGCCATCGTCCCCTGCAAATGCGGCTATTGCCTTGGCTTTTCCGCCAGTAAAGGACCCAGTCGCCCTTTTAAGTTCAATTTTTCCTGGCCTATTCTGACGCAGCAAGGCCCTACGAAACGCTGAGTCGTTGTCCATTTGGACATAGGCCTTTCTGGCCAATTCACGACGCTGCAGACTTTGTCGAAAACGAAGTCCTTCTGGCGTACCACTTTCCGCCAAGGCATGACTTCCAGCATTTTCGTCGGACACTAGTGACCCAGGAAGATGTTTGGATTTGCCCAACAGGCATTGTTCAGGAGTGAAACCATTTACCCTTGACAGTGAATTCTTTGCCGAGAACACCTGCCTCAAACACCTGGAAAACTCAGCTTCTGTATCTATGTCCATGTCTTTTTCCATACGGGACAACATTGATTTCACAATTTTTCCATGTGCCTCACATCTTCCATTTTGCCAATGTGCCTCCGCCGCAGTCATAGCGACACGAGTGCCGTCGCTCTGAAGATGTGCCGCCCAGGAGTCACTGACATACTCACCAGCCGGATCTAAATACAAAACGCGGCTCGGTCCTGCCCAATGGACCCATGCCTCTTGATAAACTTGGATTTGACTCTCAACCTTGCGTTCACTCAGAGCTCCAACATGAAACAAAGTGGCCTCATCAATAAAATGCATGAAGTGAAAAACCCTACCATGTTTGTTTCTCCAATAGGCACCATCAGCTCCAACCAAATCATTGAAGTCGAGGTCTTCGTGAATCCGCCCTGGCTGAGTCAATTTTGGTTTGTTTTGGGTTTCTATGCACGTGTCGCAACACATGTCTTTTGACCCCTCGACTACTTCAGGTTTGGCATGTCTGTCCACGAGGAAACGGGCAAACTTTTCGGGATCAGGATGACCCAAATTCACATGAAGTCTTCTCAACTCCCTCTGCTCCCCCTTTTCCAAAGCTAAAAACTTGGGACCAGATTTGGGAATTATCTTAGGTGCCCACCCCTCAGGATTACTGACTGCCATTTCTTCCATTGGAACATCTTGCTTGTGTGGTGGCATATTAGGATCCTCATCTCTATCGGCGGAAATGCCATCCAGCGGAGGAAGAACTTGATGCCTCTCACTCATTGGCGCATCTTCGAAACTGCCTGGGCCTGGGCTGCTTTCAGCTGCCCTCGAGGATTCCGCTGGAACAACTGCAGAGACATCCGTGGTGTGAGATGTTCCAAAAATGTTCAAAGAAATCCTAGCAGGACCTGTTCCCCTTATTTGTCGGGCCCTTGTGAGACGAAGCCATTGCTCAGCAGGTCCAGCTTCAACAACATCACCAGTCTCACGATGCACAAAAACAGTCTTACGCCATGGATACTTATCCCCATGTTGATCCACACCATCAGTTCGATGTCTTTCAGTGCCACGACAAGCAATGACTAGCTTCACCGCTTCACCGAGAATTCAGGCACCAATTGCTGAATCAGTTTTACCAGAACAGTCCCTTCCTCAAACCGATGACCCCCAACACGTGGTGTCTCATATCCAGCTTGACGGAACACATCTTTCCATGCTGGTGCCTTTCCATACAGTGAAGATTCGGGCTGTTTCAGCTCGACTCGGCGCCGCTTCTGCAACTGCAAGGATTCATGTGCCAGTTCTGGTCTTTCATGTTCTAGACCTAGAATCATTTCTTCTACCAACAATGGTTGTTCCCCAGGGTTTCTCAGAAGCGTTTGCATGATACGCCGCGCAAATTGTGAGGTGTACGCTTGTGCATATGCAGAGATCGCTATCCATTTCCCGTTATGTTGAAACTTCCCCTTAATAGGTTGATGTTCATGATTCCCCTGACAATAATTTTGGTGGAAAGAATCAAACAATTTGCGACTGGTCGTATGTACCTGGGTCCTCTTCTGAAGAAACTCGGAGGTCCTCGGCATTTGAAGCTGCCCGACCTGGCACATGTCGAAAGTCATGGGCAAAGTGCCCAACCTGACATCCTGCAGTTCTGGCTGTAGGATCATTTCCGATCCCCTCGGCTGTTCCAGGTGGAAGTGGTTTCCTTTGGAAATTTGGTGTAGATAAATCTGATTGCACAACTCCAGGTGGTGACGATCAGACTGCCTTTCTCCTTGGATACGTTCGAAATTTTCCATGCTCCGATTCATGTTGTACCTAGAGTAATTACCCCAGAGACAACATTCAGGTGCAACCCAAACATGTTTTGGTTCATACAGTTCAATCCATGTCCATAATTTGGTTACCCCTTCTTCTGTTGAAAGATCACCATGTTCGCGGGTAAATCTCAGAGCCCTTCCCCCTTTCTGGTTGCATACACGAGTAAGTTGGGACCCTTCATCACAATAAACCTCCAGAAGATCAACCCTTGGACCAAGATATTTGGGGACGTGTTGCAATTTTGTTTTCGGGGACCCTTTATTATCCACATATTGTCTGTCCCTTTTTAACCCCTGTAGGTCAAGTTCAATCTGATTTGTAAGGGTTTCTACTGATTGTTGAATCAACAGCATTTCTTCAGTGGATAACAATTTTAGGCATCTTCCCCTGGATGGTGCTTTCCCTGGGTCTCCAGTTGCAATTCTCGTTGCAACACCGCTATCTTCGTGGTCAGCTCTCTCACTCGATCCTCGTTGGGCTGAATCTCCATCGATGGCATGCTGGATGTCGGATACCCACGCTTGTTGGTCTTCTCCTCGACTCCGATCTTCTGCCACTCGGACTCCTCCTTGATCTCTGATCTGGGAGTTGCTGGTCGTGCTGTGCTCTTCGACTTGGCCTTGGCGGCAATGAGCTTGGCATTGGTGCGTGGAGAGAGCCATGGTGCTCCCCCTGCCGCAATCAACTCCTGGACTTCCGGTGTCATATGTGGCGAGATCGGCATCTGCAATCCCTGTTCCTTTGTCTCCCGTTCCTGATTTTCGATGCTCTTCTCCCGGCGATGGCGACAGTACAGCTGGAAGCTGCGTGTCCATGACGACACTGCCTTCCGATTCCACATTTGGCGTGTGTAGGCCCTGTCGTTCTCGTAGATCTCGGCAAAGGTCTTCCCGGGGTGTTTCCCGGAGGGTATGCGCAGCTTTCCCCACTCCTCCAGATTCTCCACTCCTGGCGGACGAGTCAGCACCGAGGGCATCTCGTGGTGCTGCTGTTGACTCTGGAGACTTGGATCCACCGGTGAGGTCAGCATCTGCTGCAGATACGGCACCTGCGAAGACATTGCCCTGAGAGTTCACACGTTCTTCAGGCAGGATTCCGCCTGTGGTATGTTCCTGGTAATTGAGCTCAGAAAATGCTCTGGCATTCTTTTTGGAATTGTCATGCAACAAAAATGTTTGAGTTTCCTTTGGAGACCCATGATCAAAACTCTGAATTCCTCCCATGTTATTATGGTGCATGTCATGCTGAGGAACCGGTGATGACTTATGGTTTGTTTCCATTTTCGTTTGTGTTTTCCCCTGGTCCGTTTCCGTTTCACGTTTCAGCTCATGTGCACAGTAAATGTGTGTTGGTGTGCGCTCACTGCAAGTGGGAGTTTTTGTCAGTAAATCCAATACCTTAACCCCCAACAAACTTCTTCGAACCTCAAACAGGGGAATCTCCTCTGAATGTTCCCGGAAACAAAGTTTCTTTCCAAACACATCAACTACTCCCCGCAAACTGCCCAAAACTGAATTGGATATCAAAAATGGCGTTTGACCAGGCACCACCTCAACACGAAGCCAGTCATTTTTGGATCGAGGAAGCAACACTGCGAACTCACTTGCTAGGCGGCCAGCATTCCCAAATTTGAAAACAACTCCATTGGTGGGTACCCTCATTACCCCGGACCTGATTCCCTTTGGTAAGCTCTTTAACAGCCTAGACAAACGTTCCTTTCCAATGACTGCTTTACTGGCGCCAGTATCAATGATAGCTTCATCATCCGCTTCCTCTACATTGAAAATACAGGTTCCACCTGCCTCATGATCGCTATGACCCGGCAGAAAAGTGGACTCCCTGCAGGCTGGCTCGCTGTTGGCAGTCGGCAGAGCGGTCTTGAGGTTGATGCATCTAATACTCCTACAGCAGGGAACAAGTCGGTGAACGAGATTGGTGGTCAGATCAGCATCTTTAGGACCCCTCTGATTCACAAACCCCACATCACCCATGTTCACATGTTCAACATGACACACTCCATGATCCACCATGACCCCGTTTACCTCACTGACCTCCAAAACTTCAGCTCCCGGAGGAAGCTCCGTCACCAGGTCGTCACCAGTGATCGCCGAGTAGACGTTCTCCGTGTAGACCTCAAAGTCATCGATCATCAGGCCAGTGAAGTTCTCATTCTCCGGCTTTTTGACTGGAGTTGTGGCAACCATTCCAAGGCCCAGGGGACACTCACGTTTCCAGTGACCAGGACGGCCACACTTTCGGCAATTGCTGTTGGCAATCCTGTCCGCCAGGGTTTTCCTTCGACTGAACATGTTGCCACCAGTCGACCATGAAGCACCCTTCTCCCCAGCCGAAGATCCTTTCCCTTTTCCGCCATACCCTTTTCCTCGTCCTCGTCCTTTGTTGGCGCTTGGTGGCCAAAAGCCTCTGTTCCGGGCTTTCTCCTTCAGTCGAAAGCGAGCTTCTTGGTATGTGGTGAAGCAGGCAGCTAACTGTGAGCTTTCTTGGCATGCTACCAGGATCTGCTCCTCAAAGTCAGCCACAAAGCAGGCATCTTCATCTCCATTTTCTGCCAGGGTGTGGATGAATGTGTCCTCGTCTTCATCCTCATCATCATGCCACAAGGCTGTTTCCTCATCCACATGGTTGATGTCATAGGTTTTGAGTTTTGATGCACGTCCTCCACTCCCAGACTGCAGCTCTTGGAAGAACCGAGACCCTAGAAGTCGGATCTGCTGTCGGGCATCATCATAGTTCAGGTTCCCGCCCTTCTCCATGATGATTCGTTTTCTTTCATCGGGTGTCAAAAGAGATTGACGTAGGAGAATGTAGGCACGAACCTCCTCCAGACTCACCTTCTGACTGATCAGGTCTTCGAAAGCTGCATCGTGTCTGGCCAGGTAGCTGTCGTGGCTCTCATCCGGTTTCTGATGCACCAGGTACAGTGCCCTCTCGAAGTAGTTGAGCTTCTCTTCGGAGGCCAAGCGACCCCACTGACCACCCAGTGCTTGCACTAGGTACGAGACCCCATCTGGCTCCCTGAGCTTTTGTGGGTCCAGTCTCGAGACCTTCTGGAAAGCAATGCCCTCCACAAGGAGAGCAGCCCTGGGGCCTAAGTGCTCCAACTGCTCCTTTGGCCATAGAGCTCGAAGGAACTCTAACTTCCTGGAGTACACCTGGACGTCCGTTTCGCCCGGCACAAACTTCGGTATCTGGGACCATGGCACAGCAGAGAGTGGTGGCCCTGATCCCGCTGCTTGCGCGGTCTCTTCACCAGACATGGCTCAGCTACAGTTGGCTTATCAAAACTGTTGGAACCCTCTTGACAACCCTCCTTACGTCCTGGAGACCTGTTGCACTAGGGGAGATCCAAGGGGAATTACCGCGGCAGCCCAGTTGCTCCGCTACCAATGCAAATCTATACCTACCAATGCCCAAGAATCCCAGTCCTTGAATGCTTCTGCTGTGCTAGTTACTCCCTAAGTAACTTCCCTGCCTAGACCCTGTCTGTCCGTGGCCTTTTGGTCTTGTAGTCCTCACCCGCCCTCCACTGGGCATGTCGCAAATGGCAGCGAAGGATGAACAGCGGTCGGCCGGCAAATGGAACGGTGGATTCATGTCACAGTCATGCATGTCCATGAACAGCACATTCACAATATATATATATATATATGTATATATATATATGTATATATATATATGTATATATATATGTATATATATATATACATATACATATATATATACATACATAATTCATAATGTAAATATACACACATATTATATGGATGTAACAAAAGGAGGCTTGGCCGCAACTTTTATATATTTCTTTTGCCTCGTCCTGGCATCATTTTGATTGGCTCGATTCAAGTTGGTCCCAAGTTGGCGATCTCATCCGGAAACCACGTGGTCCTTGGAGGCATTTTTTTCCAAGCAAATTACGACAATTGGACGTAATGTTAGTAAAACAATGTCACTTAAACCACCCATATAGTGATGGTTTATAGCACCAAAGATGGTGATTTTGGGGATGGTTTATGATTGCTTTACCAACATTACCCAGTTTCGTAAAGACCATGGTATCAATTGTCCACTTACGATTCCTGGGCGGCACGTCCAAACAAGATCAAACAGGAGTGGTGGTTCAGGAAAGGCAAGTCGCAGCAGTGTGCAAAATTTCCACCGTTTGATTGTGCCAGTGTTGAGGCTCATTTGCAACAAGCAAGTCCCTCTATCCCACTCAAATGACTTTCCATGTAGTTCCATTGATGCAGGGTTATAGAAGGCAGAAACCCCTGTCTTTCCTCCAACTTTTGACATTCAGAACACTTTTTTTGCATTCGTTGTTCATCTTACTCTCATAATCTATCCTGTCCCTTTCTTTGGGAAACTTTGGATGCGGCACTTTAGTATGGCAATCTTTCGCTACGCATGGATATTTAATATGTATATATAAAATTATGTAAATATATCTTTTGGAAAGTAACTTTCGCTAGACATTGTTATCTTTGCAGACTATCGAAGATAGGCCATGTTTTGTCACCTCTTCCCTGCTTGTTGAATCACCGCCTTGGCACCCGAAAACCCAGCGGTGCTCGTGGGGTGAAAAGCAGTCCGGACTGCTTCGGCATCCGTGGATGGTCGGATGGACCCCTCTTTGAGGCAGCAGCACCAAGGTTTTTTTTTAGCGCCCAGCATTTTACCCTCTGGTAATTTAACATAGCTATTGGAAATGGCCATAGAAATAGTGGATTTTCCCATGAAAAATGGTGGATCTTTCCATAGTTTTTTGTTAACGTTTACCAGAGGGTATGGGAGGTATTTCATGGGATTCATCTCGTAGTTCTGACACGTTCTGACGGGTAACCGTTAGGAGATTCTCTTACCAGAATGCCAGAGGATATGGCACGGCACTTCATTTCATTCGGCAGTGGCTTTCGGGGTTCAAAGTTCCGATGGAAATGTATTTGTAATAGGTTTGGCTAAGTTCTAGAAATCTTATAACTACTTTGGAACACCAGATAATAGATGATAATAGTACGGGACACCACCCTGAAAGGGCTTACTGCAGATTTGGGAAGAATGGGTTCATTTGCTTGGGTGTTTTTGGTGTTTTTAATAGATGGAAAAGTGCTCCACACGAGTCAACGCAGGATGGAACAGCGATTCTCTTGTGCTACTGACGCTGGATCCCAATGGCTGATGTTGATGGCGCAGAATTTGGGCTGCGGGTTACAACAACCTGGGGCTTCAAAGCAATCAGAATTGTGAAGTCAATTGGTTGTACCTTCCCAGAAGGATTGTCGGCACTCCAAGCTGATAGCCGATGAGTCTGTAGCATTTTTCATCTTCTTCCACCGGTTCTAATTGATGATCCTGGGCAAAGATACCCGACGACCAAGATACCCCAAAACGGTTTATTGTAGCCTTCTTTTCTTGGTGGACACGGCAATGCTTGGGTTCCAACGGCAAGTTTTTGAAAAGCTGGTGGTAAAATGAAAATGGTGCCCAAAAGTTTCTAATTGGGGTTTAAAAGCTGATTATCCACTCTCAATCCAAGGATCACAGCTGTTTGTTTTTCTTCCCCGGATATTATACTGATTTTGATTTATACTGTGTATACATATGAGAAACGATTTCCAAAAAAAGGTGCAGCAGTAGCTGGGGGTAACCCCCCACAGCTACAACCCGGATTTGTGTCCCTGGTGCCATGGCTGCCATGGCTGCCATGGCGACGGGCGCTTGACCGATGGGCGCGGGGGCCTTGACGACGGCGACACAGCAGCAACTGAGAGAAGTGGTGCTGGCGCTGCCCCGAAGCCTGGCGCAGTGGGGAAACGGGGGTGTTGGCAATCCTTCCAATACAATGACATGTGACTCATATATATATATATATGTATATATATATATATATGCATCCATGCATACATACATACATACATACCTACCTACATACATACATACATGCATGCATGCATGCATTACATTACATGACATGACATGACATGACATGACATGACATGACATGACATGACATTACATACATAACATTACATTACATTACATTACACTACACTACACTACAATACCTACCTACCTACCTACCTACCTACATACATTACATACATACATACATACATAGATACATACAATACAATACAATACAATACAATACAATACAATACAATACAATACAATACAATACAATACAAACATACACACACACACATACACACATACATACATACATACATACGTACGTACGTACGTACGTACATACATACATACATACATACATACATACATACACACAGACATACATACATACATACATGCATGCATGCATGCATGCATGCATACATACATACATACATACATACATACATACATACATACATACATACATACATACATACATACATACATACATACATACATACATACATACATACATACATACATACATACATACATACATACATACATACATACATGTACTGCATACAGAGCGGGGGATATGATATGATATGATGATATGATCGGATATTAACACTAGATCATGATAATGAGAGACCCAGGCGTTGATCGTGAGAATCTGAAGGAGGCCTTGCAACGATTGGACGGTGCCTAGGTCCAAAGATGACCCTGGAGTGGTTTTTTGCCTATGGTTTTCATTGGGATAATAAGGGAATATAAATGGGATACTCCATACTTGTGTGGTCTGTTTTTTTTGGGATTGCCATAATCATGATTAAATGGTCTGTTTCACACACACACATATATATATATACATACGTGCACATATATGGCTGAAAAGGATTAAGATTGGGATAATCAGTGGATAATCATAGGATGTGAATGGATTTGGGCTGTCGATAGCATGTGGGGGAACATTTACCCTCTGGTTACTTAAGAAAACTATAGAAAATCACCATTTTTAATAGGTAAACCATCTATAAATGGGCCATCTATACCATGGCGAACTGTTAAATAACCAGAGGGTAGTTCGGATCTTCTCAGTGAATCCTCTCGAACCCCAGGTGATGCTTCGGGAAATCTTTGCAGCGATCTGCGGGAATATTTCAAGAAGCAGTGCCGTGGTGATTTCGGGAGCGCCCGAAAGTTTCCCGCCACACCTTTCAATTCTCTTAAGCCAACTGCCTACCTAGAAGTAATGTCTGGCAAACTAAGATAGCTATTGAACATGGCCATTGATAGTGGATTTACCCATTAAAAATGGTGATTTTCCATAGTTATGTTTTCTTGGGGTTTGGATGATCCCAACACCATCTAACACCTGGCTACTTACCCCAAAAAATTCAAAAGGTGTGGCGATGGCCACAGCTCATGATCCCTATTCGTGATTGGTACCCTGGTTGGTCAATCCCTAGGTGGATTACCTCACAAGTGGGTCATCGTCTATCGCCTAAGAATTGGGTAGGTGGTTCGACAGTCCCTTTCTATGATCCCTCATCATGTATGGCTTGTATCACCATATGATCACCATTTGAAGTATTTTAAAGTTGCAAAACAAGCTTTGCTGGCTATACATACCACTTTTGTATATAAACATTCCGCTTAATTTTTTGCGACACAACGTGCTTGCTGCCAGGTACCGCTTGGGTGGTGAATTTTGCCACGAGGAGTACGAATAGACGGACGGGGAAGAGAAATGGACCTGGATCCACAAGCCCACGGGAATCCAGGTGCACGCAGCATTTCCGCAGAGAATGGAGGTTCATAATAGTTGGTTCATCCAGCTATTACATCTTATTATATATATGTATATGTATATATGTATATATGTATATATGTATATATGTATATATGTATATATGTATATATGTATATATGTATATATGTATATATGTATATATGTATATATGTATATATGTATATATGTATATATGTATATATGTATATATATATAGATGTATATATGTATATATATATAGACAGACATTCCCTGGTCAATATTATATATATACGATTATGTATGTAGGTGAATATCAGTCATTAGCCAATTTCTAAGTGGGATGCACTTCCAAGTAGGTAGCGACATCACTGGCCGACCGTTGCTTTGTATCCTATCATGATGTCATACGCACACCTTATCGGTTGAAACCAGCAACCAGTTTGAGATTTTGTCTCACGATCCTCATCCGAGCCAGATGAAAATTCCTTTCAATTTTCTTAAGCCAACTGCCTACCTAGAAGTAAAAATGGTGATTTTCCATAGCTATGTTAGTTTACTAGAGGGTAATATCTGGTGAGGTCACAATTTTCATCAAAGCGTAAGGGTTGATCTGTTGGTGAACCTGTTGGACTAACCAGACCTGGCGCATGACATGTCACAAATCCAAGTAGAGATCTGCTAAGACGGAAGTGGTTGGAGAGATGATGTAGAGATGTGGTTGGGGTATGGGGATATATCCGTGTTTGTTTAGGGATATTCCGACAACAAAAACACGATGTTTGAGCAACAAAAAATTGGAGACAGTATAGTTTGCTAAATCATCGAAGCAAATGCGCGCTTCGCTAGGTCAAATTACCACAGTCATCATCTAAGATGTTCTGAAAATGGGGTATACTCGGTATAAATGACCATAGTTTCAATGGGGATAATCATAACAATCCAGAAACAATCCGCTCAATAGAAGTGCAACAATATACCCTCTGGTAATTTAACATAGCTATTGAAAATGACAATTAATAGTGGATTTTCCCATTAAAAATGGTGATTTTCAATAGCTATGTTAAATTGCCAAAGGGTAATAAATGGAATCCCTATCACCTATTGCAACCATCCATTGTTTTTTTTTGATCACGAGGTGTGGAGAGATGCCATTGATTTGACCGCAGGGGAGGGTGGATCCTCGACGATTTTTGGGGAAATCTGGATGTAAGAAATCACCATGTCTTTTACCCTCTGGTAAAACTAACATAGTGATTGAACATGGCCATAGAAATAGCTGATTTACCCATTAAAAATGGTGGATCTTTCCATAGTTATTCATCTTTGGATATGGGTCAAAACATGTCAAAACTGGGATGGATTTTGATTCGATGAACAATGCACCAACATCTGCAATGCCTGGGTACCCCTGGGTCTCTGTAAAGAATGGACCCAATGTGGGTGACATTGTGAAAAACATGGCAGATCTTGCGGAAAGCGATGTCTTTGGAAGGCCTGTTTGAGGTGTGTTGCTTTGCAAGGATCACTTACAAACAACATTTCGCCGGACGCAATAGCAAACATATACAAACATGATGTTGATTTTGATGCTGACAACGATGACAATGACAATCGAAAAAATCTCACAGAAAAGCGATCCCTCTATGACATTCTTTGGAGAAATCTCATTGAACCCCTTCGAAGTGTTCCTGACTATTTCAATTGTTTTGATTCAGCATAATCAGTTGAAGTCTCTCAAAGTTGGTCGCAAAACCTTAACAATTTCCCAGATGAAACCACCCAAAAACCACCCGAATCACCAAAAAGCCCACGGCGGCCCAGGGTGGCCTCTGAGGAGACGTCTTTTTTCACTACACCAGCGAAGTGGCCTTTGGCAACATTACACACCCCAGCAACTTGGCAAGTCAGGGGACAAAGATCGGGATGATTTGGTGGAATTGAAGAGGCTCTAGTAAGTCATTTTGGGGACCAAGGTACCAAGATGATTTGGATGATTTTGTGGAAGAGCTAGTAACTCTAGTAGAAATAGTTTTTCTATGAGATCTGTGGCAAAAAAACACATTGTACAAAAATGGCTTCCAGTTTTGAACCCATCCCAGACGATTTTTGGCGCTTCGATGGCACTCCCAGAGATGGTCGGATCAATCCGATCGACGATATGGGAATCTTTCGGGATATCCTAAAAAAAGATATGCACCATAGTTTACCATACATAGATCATTTACATACATATCATAAATGGTTGGTATATATATATAATTAATATACATATAGATATAGACTTGATAGAGTATACACAAAAACTTATAGTTTATAGACAGTTATAGATGTATGAGTTTCATACACATAGCAATCATAGGCAGCCGTCGTTTAAAACCACGGTGTTTTTCTTAAAACACGTGTGGTCGTAACTAAGGCAAAGAAGCCACCGAAGTTTGGGCGTCACTCAACACCTCGGGGCCCAACGCCAACGCCTGGTGGGGTCCTGGGGTCTACACGGTGCCGTTGGCGCCGGATCGATGGGAGGATCGAGAGGAATTGCTGGATAACAACTTTCGCAACATGATGAGGATCTGATGATGGGGATGATGGGGATGATGCTGAAAATTTGGGATCATTCCAGTAGTTTCAAAGAATTCTGTATGTACACACGTTACACACATGTATATATATATACTTTGCCATTTGGTTGTGTGAAAATGCTAGGAACTCCTCTTCCTGTCTGCCAGATGTCTATAATATTTGGAGGGGCATTTGGACCTTTAGGCCCAACATGTTTTGAATTTAGACGCAAGGAATGGGAATGACGTAAGACTTGCACGAAAAAACAGACATTATGAACTTGTCACAAAAGTGTCCCACAAGAGTGTTTGACAAACATGTCCAACAAGAACGTCGTACAGGTTTCGATGCTTCTTGCATTCACTACTTAGCATGGTGATGGAGTTTGACGCAGCATGTATTCCTAGCTTGTGATGTGCATGAGTGTTTGTGGCTTCTAGCAAGTTTTTTCCGTGCACATTCTTTCCTTTTTGCATCTACATAGGTTGTTCTCTGAAAATTTTGGAACTAAAAAAACTACCAACAAATTATTGCATTCTAAGATCTACCCGATGTCGGGACAAACCTGCAGCTTTCCAAGCACCAATTGTCAAGCACCAATTGCTACCCCCAAGTGATGCGGAAAAAAAGGAACCTTGGTACGGTGCCAAATAACAGTTGGATCCGTTGGATGCCAGGTATTTTGCACTAGTTTTGCTCGGTTTGGGCGTGCCCTGATTCAAGCAAGAAGATTGGCAGTATGTCATGCAATTGGCAAAATCGTAACACCTAAATTCTTTGAAACTGCCGGAAATCCAACTGGTGCTCCAGGAGAGATCGAGAAGATCCACAGAGGGGCGTGGAGTATGTGAAGGCGGAATATCCCAAAGAGTAGCCTACTGTGCCGAAGCTGAAAGTCTTCAACATTCCTTGCTTTCTCTACCGGTTCTCCACGGTGTTGCTGTGAGACCCTGTCCCAAAGACCGGCCTTTTCTGGGTCTATTGGCGCCTTTTGGGTCGCCGTGGCCCCCAAACTCCCAGAACTGGAAGGGCCAATTTTGAGAATATTCCATGGTAAAAGTCCGGAGTTTCCTCCTAAAAAGAGTGAACAAATCTGGGTTTGCCACATTTCTTGGTAAAAATAAGGGGTTTCCTGTAAATGATGCCCTAAAATCAGCCTATCAGATTCCCCACTGAGGTGTCCCGCTGATCATCGACCCAGCCTATGCCTATGATGTGGCGCTGCGGGCAACGCCGGAGATGCTGGAAGCCGGGAAGGATGCTGGGAACAGCCTGGCGGAAATTGTCAGGGGAATAGTCAGGGTAGAATGGCCGGGAAAAATATGTGGGGAACCTGATGATCAACCGAAGCATTTGATGGGGTTATGTTGAGTTATTGGTGGAAGGTGGAAGAGATAATGATGCCGATTTCACAGACCAAAATGGGGATTTCAGAATGACTTTTGCCGAATTTGCAGCCAAAAGAACTGGGGACGTTTTCACCTAGATGATCAGTCGATGGATCGCAACTGGTTGACACGTGTAATGTATCACATAGGTTAGGAATTCACTGCGTATGGCCCAATTATACACGTGTAAGCTGGGTCAAATGTCCAGGCTACTTCCCAGATATGACCAATGGATTGTGGGTTTGGTCTCATTGACCTCCTCTGGCCGCTATTTGGTTGATGAATTCAGGGGATATTTCGTTTTTTTAACGACCGATGTGTAGTAGTCATGGATTGCGAATAAGTAACAAAGCAACCTGTCAATTTTCCCATTTGAGGACGTCATTGCTTGGTACAACATTCTTGAACCCATGCACCCCTGAAGCACATCGCAACATCTACGCCCCTTTTGGCAGCTTGAGGATTCGTGGAGTGTAGTTTTGGACGGAGGGCTTATTATGAACTATCCAGATCGATATATCCCCTTCCATGCCCCGGATATAGAAGTATCTCACTTTTTTTTATCCCGGTATGTCCTGTGGGATCCGAACTAAATTATGTGAATGATATGATATTTTATGATTACCCTCTGGTAAACTAACATAACTATGGAAAATCACAATTTTTAATGGGACAATCCACTATAAATGGCCATTTTCAATAGCTATGTTAGTTTACCAGAGGGTATTTATTATACTTGTAAACTATCCAGATGATGCATCTCCTTCTATCCCGGATGATCTTAGGAAGTGATTTGCTGAATTTACGATGGAAACACCGACTTTCATGCGCTCCCATTTTGATGATTTTATAGATGATGGTCCAACTGCTGAGTTTCCATAATCAATCTAGAGTTCCATTTATATTCCAATGTATACTTAACATAGAAATTCCCATGATTCCCCGTATCTCCCAATGAATCCCATGATATCCCCATTTTTCCAATCTCCCACAGTTGCTGGGATCTCCCAGAGGGGCCCTGGTTTCTCAGGATCCGGGACGCAACCTGGCCGACAAGTTGCTGAACGAACCCGGAAAGCCACCCCGCTGCTGCGTGGTACTACGGATCGCCGGGGAGGAAGGCGCGGCCTTTGGGAAAAATGGGGGGGTTCTTGATGAAATCAACGAAAAATGCCGTGAGTTCAAATATTGATCTGTGTCCAAAATCCAAAATCACAAAACGAAAGTGGGGATTTCAACATTTTAGCTTCAAGACCTGGGGGTTTGAGTGGCGATGGTGAAGCAGAGGAGAATGGGGAAGAACACATCAAAAAACACGGCAATTTCACCGACAAACAAGTCCAGAATAAGAATTACAGTAAACTTGACTCAACCGCGTTTTGACAGATTTTTCCTCAATCCCACGGTGTTCCTCTCATCTTATGCCCAGCAGGTATCCAGCATGCCCGTGGCCGTTTGCTGGACGCTCTGCGGCAGCGCGGCAAAGCTGGACGCCGCGACAGCAAGCTGAGACTGGGCGAGGCGGGGGAAAGTGTCATGAAATGGGTATACAGTACGGTATACAGTATACATGTTGCCCTCTGGTAAACTAACATACATAACTATGGAAAATCACCATTTTTAATGGGAAAATCCACTATTAATGGCCATTTTCAATAGCTACGTTAAATTACCAGAGGGTAGACAAAATGTTATATAGGCATATGTAATGAATATTATGGTAGATATATGTAGATGCAACTATAGTTGATAGGGTTTATAACACAACTTATAACTGCGGGGGCATCTAGTACCAAACCAATTTCTTCCATCGGACAAAAATTCCGGATATCTATATTAAAAATCAACTCCATATTCCCAATATCATTATATTTAACGTCTTAATATCATTTACAAAATTCCCAATATTCCGAATATGACTTGTTTTTTTTAATATGAGGAATATTGCCATATTACTAATTTAGATATTAGGAATGGGATCATGTACCATTTTACCATCTTGGGAATATATCTTGATACCATAGATGTGGAAAACCAACCATTTGTCGATCATTTACCGAACGGGACATCATTGGTTTTCTACCATTTTTTTTGGTGCGTGTTACCCTAGGGTCATATTACTTACCTAATGAATGGGTCAAACATTTCTAGATAATATAGAATAATATCATGTACCAGAGATTAGGAATATGACATGACATCATCTCATTCGATATTCCATCCATTAGGTAATGCTTCTTAGATAATTATCTCATTACCTTTTTTTTTAATTTCCATTCATATTGGGATTATGGGATGGTTATTTAATAATTTTAATATGAACTTCCACAGAAAAAATGACATAAGATTAGATCATTTTTCCATCCCCAGGTCCCCGGGTCCTCATCTTCGCAGGTCCTGGACGCCCGCGGCCTCTATGCCGAAGCGCTGCCTCTGCTGCAGCACGTGGTCTCCGAGGAGCTCCGGGCCTCCGGCGACGAAGATCCCAAGACGCTGAGGGCCAGCATCAGCTTGGCACAGCTGAAGTACCATATGGGAGTCTTGGAGAAATTTTCACTAACCAACAGGAGATTTTGAGATTTCACCTATGAAGTCTCTAGCGAAATTGTCATGGTTTTCTCTGGAAATTTGGGGGATGACCAGCAAAATTTGATGGCGAATCATGGTGTTCTCATTCAAACATGGTTATTTTTCATGGTATATCAACCGGAAGAAACCCCATTTTCAGACACCCAAATCAAGTTGGTTGTATATCATATATCCCATGACATTCCATGAAACATCCCATGGAAGAGACCGTTAATTGTTCATGGGGATTTCGAAAAAAAGCCGCCCGTCTCCCCAAAGGTGACCCATAGAGCTGTGGAATCTTTGAAGGTCTTGGTTGATATCGCTGGGCTAGGAAGAAATGCAGTGCGGCTACTTAAGCATGACTGGTATCTCTAAATAAATAAGCAAACAACTAAATATATATGAATATGTATATATATATATGGTACAGTAAAATAGTGGACTAACTATGGTGTCCACTGGAGCGTTGTATTTTTACTTGAGTTTTTGGAAGGTTGATTCAACTCTGAAGCTGGGATTGAATGAGTTTGTCGATCTTTTCCAGGTTTCACAATTTCATATCTACTTGGGGTTTCTAGTTTCTATACATGGTTCTTTTTGTGCCTGGGAAACATGGACTAATCAGCCGTGAGATATGGAAAAATCAGATTTAAACCACATGCATGGTATCTGAGATCGGCCACATCTACAGTGCTTGAGGACACTACTGCGAAGCAGAGAACATGTTTCGGCAGTGCTTCGAAGCGATGGAGCGCACTTTGGGTCCTACACATCATGATACCCTGAGTTCGATGAGCGCCTCTGATTAGTAGTTGGACATTGGTTTTCTGGCGTACCCTCCGGTAGTCAAACGTGGCAAAGGAACATCCCCTATACATGGAGGTTTATAGCTGGGAACATCATTTTACAATGGGATCATAGGAGTGCAATTCTCAATCATTCTACCCTCTGGTTATGTCAAAATAGCGAACTGGAAAATCACCAGTTTTAATGGGAAAATCCACTATTTCTATGGCCATTTTCAATAGCTATGTTAAATTACCAGAGGGTACTTGGAGCTAGAATTGAGGTGAAACGTTGATGGTTATACAGTTATCTGGTCGGTGGTTTGGAACATGAATTCCATTTTTCCACATGGGACTGTCATCATCCCAACTGACTTTCACTCACTCCATCATTTTTCAGAGGGGTTGAAACTCAACTCAACCACCAACCAGTTATGGGTGATTTAAAGCCCCATGTTTCTTGGGGTTTTTTGGGGCCCAACTATGGGTGATTTCAAGCCACTTTGATCATCCAGAAAGGACTTGGACCCTTGGGACCCATGTTTAACTAGAAAGGTCGAGTTGACCCGACTGCAGCGATGAAAACGACTTCAAGTGATGGGTCAACATCCATCGTAGCACATTGGTTTTGGCGATGTACATCCATCTATACTCTTGTCAAACATGGCAATAAACCCATATTTTCGTCAGAAAAATCATCTATAAATGAACCTATCGGGGGAATTTCCAGTAAGCATTAGATGAACCGACCATTTCAGCGATGTTTGATGCAACAAAAATAGCAGCTTTTGATCCGTCGCCAGGGTTGGACCCCCCGTTTTAAGGCAGCCTTGCAGTCGTCATGGACGACATGGGAAGGGCAGCGGATGCCCAGAGGCTCCATCGGCAATGCCTCGAGTTGTGCGAAGGCAGTCTGGGAGCGGAGCATCCGGAGACACTGACGGCGGCCAACAACTTGGGAGGTGTGTTGAATCTGGGTTGGAAGTTAAGGTAAATCATTGAGAATCGAATAAATCATGGTTTCTGGGGGTTCTTCATCTGAAAAAAAGGGGAAGGGATACTGACAGTAGTCGTTGCCCTTCTGAAATCAACCAGAAAGCTGGAAAATCCCCGAAGTAAATAAGCATTTAGATGGGACAGTCACCTATGAAGGGGAATTCTTCCAGCCTGCCATGAGCTGCGGCATGTTGGAAGACCATGAAAATTGCCATGGTGGGTGTGTCTGAAACTAGGTCATATTACCTTAATTTCTGGCAATTTCAGGGGAATATGATAAGATAAAAAGAGGATTTTGGGTACACCATGTCTTTTTTGGCCAAAGCATGTTGGTTTCTACCCAGGACTACACTGGGACAATTCGGAGAAGCAGAGAAGCTGTATCGCCGCTGCTTGGAGGTGAGTGAAAGAACACTGGGCGCTGAACATCCCGAGACTGGGTCTTTTTTTGACTGGCGTGGAAGTTTTTTTTTTTGAGTTTCCGCCCTTCAAAACTGGATTATGAACCATTCCGACCAATGTCTTCGAACATGGGATGCTGATCGAATTTCACCAATATTTTGGACGTCCCCGCCTAAAAAGATGAAATATGACTTTCCTGTGGTTTTTGCTCACCAATCAGGATACCCTGGTTGCCATAATGAACCTGGCATCTGTCTTGGATGACATGGGCCATAGCCCGGAAGCTGAAACCATGTACCGGCGCTGCTTGGACTCCCAGCTTTCTTGAGTTCTTTTTCAATTTCGAGATGGTGAATCCACCAGAAAAATCGAGAAGTGGGGAGTCGACTGGTAAGATTTTCTTTGTCTTTGTTTCTTAGATCAACCGATAGTGGATCATTTGGAATGACTAGATAAGTGTGTTGTACATAAACCAACATACAAGTGGGAGGCAGCACCTTGTACACAAACAAATCCAAGGAAGTGAACGAACGAAATCTGGGTTCGGAGCATCCTGACGCCCTGAGTGTAGTGAATAATTTGGCACACGTCTTGTGCAACATGGAAAGACATCAGGAAGCTGAACCTTTGTATCGCAGATGCTTGGAGGTTAGAGAACGGACTTTAGGATACTTGGCTGATGGGTTAAACGGTTTTAACTTTTTGCATGCCTTAAAGATGGGTGCCAGTTTCATGAATCCACACGATATCGACCAGCAAATTTCCATTCTATTTGGCTGGTGATTTCAAACTTCTTCAATCTTCCCTCACAAGAGGATGCTGATTTTTTAACGTAACTTATGACATACTTTGCGACGCTTTTGATGTGTTTCCGATTGGTTTTTTTCACAACAAAAACCACCAGGAAAGGACCATCCCGACACCTTGGCTTCCATCCACAACCTGGCGGGAGTGATGACCAGCCAGGGACGCCACAGCGAGGCACAGCGGTGCTACCAGAGCTGTCTGCAGGCGATGGATCGCATCCTGGGACCGGAGCATCCAAACACTTTGGCGGCGGTCAGCAATCTGGCAGCGGTGCCCGGGCTGAAAGCGCTACAGCCAAGTATGAGATATAAATAATGGGATAATGATATGGCTTAGTAGGAGATATAAATAGTGGGATGATAATAATGTGATTATATATATAATTGTATTATATATATACACCATTGATTAATATAGCTTAGTAGGGATAATAGTGAGATAATCATTCATATGGAATAATCATGGGATGTTAATATGACATTCATATGATATTAATGAATATATGATATTACCATCCGGTGTCATCAATCGTGGCTGGTGGAAAACACCCTCACTGTTTATGCGCTGGGAAATCATCTAAGGAGGATTTCCAATTGTTATAGAATGGGCTAGCGCCCGGGTGCCGCCGACCCCCTCTTCTTTGGCATTTGAGGCCTTAACAACAGAGGGCAGTGGCCTGAGTGCCTGGTCGAAGCTGCCGCGGAGCGTTTTAGGCATTTGAGGCCTGGCAAACGGCAGGCTTGAACGCCCTTAACAACAGAGGGCAGTGGCCTGAGTGCCTGCTCGAAGCTGCCGCGGAGCGTTTTAGGCATTTGAGGCCTGGCAAACGGCAGGCTTGAACGCCCTTAACAACAGAGGGCAGTGGCCTGAGTGCCTGCTCGAAGCTGCCGCGGAGCGTTTTAGGCATTTGAGGCCTGGCAAACGGCAGGCTTGAACGCCCTTAACAACAGAGGGCAGTGGCCTGAGTGCCTGCTCGAAGCTGCCGCGCAGCGTTTTAGGCATTTGAGGCCTGGCAAACGGCAGGCTTGAACGCCCTTAACAACAGAGGGCAGTGGCCTGAGTGCCTGCTCGAAGCTGCCGCGCAGCGTTTTAGGCATTTGAGGCCTGGCAAACGGCAGGCTTGAACGCCCTTACATTTGTCAGATGTCTATAAATCATGCGCGCATAAACCATACGCCTCATGGCTCATGAAGACATGAAATGGTCTGTTGTCTTTTTCTGAGGCAGCGCTGAGCCACGTGCATGGCCTTGGCATCTCCCACCGAGATGTGAAGGCCGGAGCTGGCAAGGTTGTCATGCATGGTCAGTCAAGGCATTAAACCGAATGGGTTTTGATGTTTTCAGTCAACTAGTTGGAGAAAGCTTCCCTGGAGGGCAGCGTTAATCTTGCTCTGCCATGCAGATTTCAACATGTTGCTCGTTTGGTACACGTTTGTTGCTATTCCTAACGGAACCTGTTGGGAATTCTCAAAAAGAGTAGTTTGGCATGAATTGTAAGCAAATTGGTTTTAGTCGTAAACAGGCACGGAAGTTGATGTGAGCGAAATCCTCCACTGCATTAGAATCATTAGAATGTCATCGCCATGTGTGCCCCACAACATGTCCCCACAACATCATTCAGCATCCGTTGCCCTTCAGCTTGGCAACATCTTGGTGGTCGTCTTGGCTGGTCGCCCGGTCTTCAAGCTGGGCGACTTGGCAGCGCTTGCAGAGGAGAGATGGGTTAGGTGTTGAGTTGATGTCTGGTTGGTCATTCGTATGTTGAATTTCAGGAGGCCAGTTCTTGCAAGATTTTGGGCTTAGAACATAGATTTTGAACTCGGCAAGATTTTCCCGATTTGCATGGTTTTTGTGATCCGTCAAGAAATTGTTGGTTCCCAGCAACAACATGCAACAACCATGTAGTCAATTCGTCAGGATCTTTTGTCAGGATTTTTGGGACTCGTCGGTTTTTCTTAAGAAACGTTCTGTGTTTGTGCAGGCCGCAAGCCTGCCGATGCCATCAGCCTCGGCTACATGGCTCCTGAACTTGCTGCCTGGGCCATAGATCCCAACTGATGTTTTGACGGACGGGGTGTCTTCGAGTGTGAAGCATGAACAACTTAGCCGAACGTGCCCAGAGTGGATCCCCTCGACATGCTGAGGTGGCGGTGCTTGAGGCCGGCTGTTGCTATGATCTGAATATCCCCCTTGGAATTTCCTCTAGGAAATGGTGGGCCTGGGCCCCACCATTTCCTAGAGATTTGGATTTTATGGGTTTTCCATCTTTGACCACTTGCATTCTTTAGAGGAATATTGGTCGCTATTTGACCTCATCTGGTGGAAGCTGGAGGTTCCATTTTTTAGAGTTCCAGGTTATCATCTGGGGTCACCTCTAAATTTACAATTTCCCATTCTTTAGACACCAGTTGTGTGCTTCCAAAAAAACGAAGTTCCGTTTTTTAGAGCTCACTGGATGATTGTGTACACAAATCTCCCCCACAAATCTACCAATTTCCCCGGAAGCTAGCCATGTCGAGCCTATATTGGGTCATTTAGAGGCTATGTCGGACAAGTTTTGAGGCAAAGATTTCGCGCTAAGAATTGGATAATTTTTAGCCCAAAAAAAAAGGCTTGAAATGACCGACGTTGAGCTATAATGTGGGGCCATGTTGGGCTCATATTGGGCCATGTTGGGCCTGGCTTGGGCTATTTGGAGGCCATGTCGGGCAATTTTCGGGCCAAAGATTTCGCGCTAAAATAATTTTTAGCGCGAAAAAAAAGGTTGGAAATGGCCGACATTAAGCTAATGTGGGGCCATGTTGGGCTCATATTGGGCCTTTATTGGGGCTGGCTTGGGCTATTTGGACGCCATGTCGGGCAATTTTTGGGCCAAAGATTTCGCGCTAAAAAATTGATAATTTTTAGCGCGAAAAAAAAAGGCTTGAAATGACCGACATTGAGCTATAATGTGGGGCCATGTTGGGCTCATATTGGGCCATGTTGGGCCTGGCTTGGGCTATTTGGAGGCCATGTCGGGCAATTTTTGGGCCAAAGATTCCGCGCTAAAAATCATTTACAATTTTTAGCGCGAAAAAAAAATGCTTGAAATGGCTGACATTGAGCTACTGTGGGTCCATGTTGGGTGTGTTCATGTTTTGAAATTGCGTTGGGCCAACAACAATTGCCGCACGCCTCTTGAAGCAATTCCACAGTTAAGTTAAACCCTGGGTCAAACGAAACATAGCATTCAGATACCCCCCTTTGGATTAAGTAAAAAGGGTGGGTGGGCCAATTCTTTAGTGGACCCACGGGGGGCTAGAAGTGGGACATCTATAGAATGGAACCCCAAGCTCTATAGAACGGATGGACCAGACCAACCTATCATAACAAATCTCTATAGAATGGAATCGAACCCCAATCTCTATAGAATGGAACCTCCAAGGGTCCTACAAACAGAGGCATGTCTATAAAATGGAGGAACCGGTGATTGGCTTGCTTAATTTCATTTTTTCCACTTATTTTTTCCCTAAAAAAATGGTGAACAGAGAAGTTGTAAAATTATGTGAAAATTGTTTATTTTGCAGTACCATTCTTTAGAGATTTTCTGGATATTCTGTTCGACCTTGAAACGTTCAAAGTTCCATTCTTTAGAGTTTTTTGGGTCCGTTCAACAACACCAACCAGTGCCTATGGGTTCCATTCTATAGTATATAGTGATTTGATGTATTTGCATTGATTTGCTGCTCTTTTATCCCCTGCCTATAGGGGCCCATTCTTTAGATAAGAGCACTTTCGTCGGAGGCCACGGAGCAAGGGAGGGAGCCGGCCGGGCTGTTTGGCGCCGAAGTGGACGTCTGTTTCGTTCACCGTTCTTTCTTGTTCTTTCAGGTGTGGTCGTTTGGACCTGCCTCTTCCAGCGGCCATTTTGGCCGGCCAAAGAGTGCCTGCTGGAGATCTGGCATTTAGATTCAAACAATTTCATGCCATGCCATGAATGTTATACCCACGTTCACAAAGAATGTGATGGGTCATGATGTGTCATCTTGACATGAAACACCGAAAAAAGCGTTTGATTCTTTGTTGCAGGCACTGGGTCAGGAAGTGAATGACCCGGATCTCCAGCTGTCGGCGGCGCCGGAGGGCTTCCAGGAGCCATGCTGAAAAAATCCATATACCTTAACGTATACCATGAAAAAATCGTCACATGGCCAATACTACCACTGTTTCGTAGACCATAGCACTCATGATCGCCATATCGTCTGGGCCAGCGGGGCTCAGCGGATCAGCGGCGGATCAGCGGACCAGCGGACCAGCGGATCAGCGGATCAGCGGATCAGCGGACCAGCGGACCAGCTGATCAGCGGATCAGCGGATCAGCGGATCAGCGGATCAGCGGACCAGCGGACCAGCGGATCAGCGGACCAGCGGACCAGCGGACCAGCGGATCAGCGGATCAGCGGACCAGCGGACCAGCGGATCAGCGGATCAGCGGACCAGCGGACCAGCGGATCAGCGGATCAGCCAGCGGGATCAGCGGATCAGCGGACCAGCGACCAGCGGACCAGCGGATCAGCGGATCAGCGGACCAGCAGATCGATCAGCGGATCAGCGGATCAGCGGACCAGCGGAGCCAGCGGATCAGCGGATCAGCGGATCAGCGGATCAGCGGCGGATCAGCGGATCAGCAGCGGACCAGCGGATCAGCGGATCAGCGGCAGCGGACCAGCGGACCAGCGGATCAGCGGATCAGCGGACCAGCGGACCAGCGGATCAGCGGATCAGCGGACCAGCGGACCAGCGGACCAGCGGACCAGCGGATCAGCGGATCAGCGGACCAGCCAGCGGATCAGCGGATCAGCGGATCAGCGGACCAGCGGACCAGCGGATCAGCGGATCAGCGGATCAGCGGATCAGCGGATCAGCGGACCAGCGGATCAGCAGATCAGCGGATCAGCGGATCAGCGGATCAGCGGACCAGCGGACCAGCGGATCAGCGGACCAGCGGATCAGTGGATCAGCGGATCAGCGCACCAGCGGATCAGCGGATCAAAGCAAAGTTCTAGAACGTACTTTTCAACCTGTCTATATCTACAAAGGCAATCTTGCTCAGTGACCTTTGCCTGCCAGGAAAAGGTCTCTCCTGCAAGCACCTTCTGTACAAGTAGCATGCCTTCCGCTTTCACAAGGCCGCCGCCCCTGCTCCGGGTTTTGTGGTGTCAGTGGTGGTTTTGCAGCTTGATTTCTGACACTTGCACCACGTGACATGACCAGCGATCACGGACGTACTTTTCAACTTTTCAACATGTATATATCGGCAATCTTGCTCAGTGACCTTTGCCTGCCATGAAAAGGTGTCTCCTGCAAGCACCTTCTGTACACGTAGAATGCCTTCCGCTTTGACAAGGCCGCCGCCCCTGCTCCGGGTTTTGTGGTGTCAGTGGTGGTTTTGCAGCTTGATTTCTGACACTTGCACCACGTGACATGACCAGTGATCACGGAAAGAGTTCGCAGCTTGTGCCCCTGCTGTGCCTTTATTTTCAAACAGGAGAGAGAACCATGACCATGCGCAAACGTATCACACTAAGACAGTCCATACATTTCGCCGCAAGGCTGAGAAGAGCAACCAGAAACAAACCACGCAACTGCAGAGCCCAAGACCTTCTCTCCCGCCTGCGACTCTTCCTTTTCATGGCGCACGGGTTTAGCCAAGCTCTGATTGCTGAAGCCATACGAAATGCAGACCCGGCTGCGCAGATTTCAGATGGTTTGGTTGTGCATCTGGCAGCTGAGCTGCAACCTCTCTTCTCGACCAGAGTTGCTGCCTACGGTAGAGAAACTTGTGCCCAAGAGTTGCTCCCCTTGCCTCGGAGCTGTTCTGCGTGCAAAACCCGGCTAGCTGAATGCAGAGGTTCTGCCACGCCTGCGGCAGTGATAGACCTTTGTGGAGTCGTTGAAAAGCTGCATGTTCCACTGCGGTGTAGAAAGCCTTCATGCCCGGAGTTTGGGGTGCTTCTTTGGTACAACTACTGCGTACGCAAAGGCAAGCATGTGTTCCAGGGAGAGCTGCCACTCTTGCAATGTTTCATGCTATCCTCGAGCTTTGGTTTTAGTATCCCTTGGCTGCGCCAGTTCCACCTGCGTTTGGTGCGTCAGCACGCATCATTCACGAGTGAAGCCGACGTACTGACGGCGCAAGCTGCCACCAATTCGCAGCTGCATCGTCTCCCCACTTCACGCTTGCGGCTGCTGATCAGCCAGGGATGGTTCACCTGGCGCTTGCTGACGCGTGGGCTTGAAGCCGGCTTGGATTTGTCTGTGGTAGATTTTCAATCTCCCATGGAGGACACGGCGTGCAGGTTCTTGGGTCCATTGCAAGCAGCATTCAGCCGGAAGGCCGTGGAAGGTGCTCAGCGTGCCAAAATGCGGTGCGATGTTATTGTTTTAGATGGCAATGCAAAGAACCGGAGGGCAGTCTGCGCCGCTGCGCTGGCGGGATGTTCTTACTCTCCAACCCTCCGCAGAACTTTGCGCCACACCTGCACAAAAACGCCTGCTTTCAAGCATTGCTTTTGCTTGCACCATTGTGAAGCTCCTGGCGCAGATCGTTCTCACACAGTGTCTTGGCTCGAATCCTCAAACATTTTCAGTTTTGTTTGCCTTCTCCTTCCGTGGGCTGCTTTTTTGAATTAAAACCCCAGGGCTTCAGCGTCGGTGCTTGGGTCTGTGCTCGCGTTTGCAGGATGTTGAGATTCGACAACACAAGTCTATCAATGATGGGCAGCAACTGATGGTTTTGCTCCAGGAAACGACCGAACCTCGCAGGGAGGCTTGGGTCTTGGATTCCGCCGTGCCAGACACTGTCTTGAGCAAGTACTTGCGGCAAGTTGGGGCGGAGAAGCTGAAACTTCGCAAGCGTACTCATGAACCCCAACCTTCAGACACTGCAGGGCCTTCTCCCGCACCGCCGCTGTTGCAGGCGCAGGTTGAACCCGTGGCAGAGCTTGAGCAATGTTCAGATCCAGCGGATTTAGCGTCTGTTGCATGTTCAACGCACAAGGAAAGCAGTACTGCCCAGAGGCAACTTGCCAAGTCAGCGGGCATGCTTTGCGTATGCTTGTCCGAGGGCCTTATTTTGCACATGCAAGAGATTTATGGCTGCGAGTCTCTGAGCCAGCGCTACTTCTGCATCGCTGCTGTCAAAGCTTTGCTGCCGACCCTGACGACAGTGGTGCACGATGATGCGTGCCACTTGCACAAGTATTGCGCGCGTCGAGCAGCGCACTCTCAAGCTGCGGCGCAGTTGTCGCCACCTCACATGACCTTTGTCTGCGACAAGTTCCACATGGCAGGCCACACGGATGCTTGGTGCAAGCAAACATGTGACCCGGAGCTCCCGTCCAACTCCGCTCTTCTCGCTGGTGTCAGGACTTCAGTTTGCGAGTTCACCTTCACATGGCTCAGCAAATACAAGCACCAAACCAAGCACATGAACGAATACGGTTTTCAGTTCTTCTTGCTCGACATGGCGTGGAGCCACAATGAAATCATTTTGCAGGGAGGCTACAGGCCGGAGGAGGTAGCTGGCTCTTTGGATGCTGAGGATGTTGCGTAGCAAGCCAAAAATGTTCGGACGCTTAGGGTTTGAAGTTTGGGAGCGCCATAGGTATGTAGCTCTTTTTTCGAACGGGCTGTGGTGCTTGTAACATGTGACCATCTTTTGCTAGATCAGGTTGATTTTAGAATTGTGGTGCGGCTTTAGGTAGCCTGGTTCAAATTTGGTAGTTCGCAGCTTCTCGTGCGGAGCCATGTCCGGGGCTCCTGACGATGGGCAGTACGTGCCCGCCATGAAGCTGATGTGGGATGAGGTGGACAGACGTTTTGACCCCAAGTATGTCCTTGGAGAAGCCGGCCACCAGTTTTGCCAAAGCTATTCTGTCAGAGCTGCGCATCCTGAATTTCCTTACGCTTTGCATTGTCTTTCTTTGATGTGTGCTTTGGCGAATGGCGCGCGGGTCGCCATCTTTGCCACAGCACCGTCGCCTCTGACTTTGGTAGCGGTCAATGTCAACTATGCCCAGACCAGAAAGTCTTCCATGACTGGACACGCAGAAGCTTTGGGGCAAGAGTTGGACACAGTCATCTTGGAGAATGCGATGTCCAAGCTGCAGCAGGAAAGCTTTGAGGAGGGAGCGGCTCAAGTCCTGAGGCGGGGCTTTTCAAAGTCCAATTGCCCCCCGCTGACCATGCGTGAACAGTTTCCTAACCTTGTGTTAAATTTTCACGTGTTTCTAAATCTTTGCCAGGAACCAAAAGACACAAGTGACCCCGCTGCTGCAGGTATTTGAAGCCAAGAATCGCTTCTGCGACTGTTGCCAGCGCCACACCGGAAGAATGGTTTCACCGTTGCTCTGCTGACTGGAACCAAGTCCGCAACGCAGACAAGCTGCCAGGAGATTGGTCTGGGCGTTGCTGGTACGGCTTGCTAGGCAACTTTGATGAAGCCTACGACTTCTTGCTGAGCCTTGGCCTTTTGTCCGACTCAAATGCAACAACGAGAGAGAAATCAAAAAGCAAAGTCAACCCGTACCAGAGCGCGTTCAACAAGCTCTTGCAATTTGGGTCTAGTGCTCGTGCCACCAAGACGGCAGGGAGCTACGGTGAGAACCCTGGTAAAACCATAAGCTTGGGCATCACTTGCAACATGCACCCGGCCTTCTACATCCCAATGGAGCAGGGCGAGCTTGGAAGCCACGCAGCCTCCACCAAGGAAAGGTTCCTCATCTCCACTGGCCGCCCTGTTCAACCACATGAGGACATCCCCGCAGACTTTTGCTTGCCGGAAGGACGGGGTCGATTCTTGCACTGTTACATGCTGGATATAGCGCTCACTTCTCGGTATTAAGGCATGTAAAGCACAAACACTGTCATGAGCCTGGCAGTCTTTGTGGATTTTCTGAGTTGAGACGCGTGCAGGAGTCTCGCCATACAGGTGGGTCCCCCTCACTCCTGAGATTGCAGACCTCATTGGGGTTGCTAAAGAAGCAACATCGCCAGACGCAGCTGCCCAAGAATGGGCAGAAGCTGGGCTTGAAGACGAAGCCGCGGCCCAACTCACCCAAAATGCTGCCGGTGAGTATGTGCCGTCGGAAGACGGCTACCTTGTCAGGCTCTTAGATGACAAGCTGACCCGCATCCGCTTCAGGCGATCAGAGGCAGCCCCAAACGGCTTTGAAGCAGAGTGGAGGGTAGCGAACCGAAACTTTGCAATCCCGGAGGTATGCCGTTTGAGAAATTGCGTTGCTAGGGTGGCCACCTATTTCGCAGCGCCACACCAAGTTATCACTTTGACTTCGGAGGCTGAGTCATGGCATCTGTCTTACCAGGGAGCAATGAATGTCCAAAGCCACGTGGTTCGTGATACTGGAGACATCCAAGCTGGGGCTCGCTTCGGGGCGGCGCCTTGGCAAGTAGGGGTTTTAGCTGCTTTGCTCCTGGTCTTCGAAATCTTTGTCGGCGCCCACTCCCCTGCAGCGCTGGAGGGGCGAGCTTTGCAGGTTACACCCGGGCACTTGCAGCGGGCGTACGCCTTCCTTCAATTGGCTCCTTGGCCGCGTTATTTTGAGTGTTCTGAACGTCACCTTGTTCCCCATGTTCCATCCAGCCTGACGTATTGTCGCAGACCAGGTGCAGCGTCTGAAGCACATTGCCCTTGGAGATGCAGCAGCCAGCCCAGACCTACCGCCGCCGCAGGAAGACGTCCGTGCGGATGATTTGGGCGCCTTGCGCATCCCCTATGTGCCTGAAGACTTTGCTTCGACCCAAGCTGGCGCAGGTATTCCAGAGGTGGGCGATGACGAAGAAGGTGACGAGGCTGCAGAGGAGTCGCCGGAGGAACATGTGCCAGAACTGCCAGCACCAGTGGGCAATCCAGGACTGCCGGAGCCAGAACCTTGCGCAGCCGTGAAACCTTTGACCCTGCAGGATGTTCGAGCCAGTGATTTTGGGTTTGGAGACAATGGTGTCACTGTCCAGCCTGACGGCTTGCATAGCCGGAATTTCACCGATAGAACTGTTTTGAAGCAGACCCTTCTTGCTGGCAAACCGAAGATCACTAGGAAAGAGGCTTGTGACAAGATGCGCTCTGAACGAGGGCAAGGACGCAAAGCGCTTCCCAAAGAAAAATGGGTTGCTGTCATGAGGGCTGCAGCTTCCCAATTTCCCGACTTGCTCCGCCTTGACGGAGAGATTTTGTGTTTGAAAATGATTCCCGACACTGCAGCAGGCAAGGTCGCGTACCACAACGACCTCATGAGAGCTTGCCGTCTAAGCCTGCGGGAGTTGATTGCTGCTATGGACAAAGCAGCTGAGAAGAAGGAAGAGCGCCGTGCAAAGCGAGCCAGGGTGGATGACTGAGGCAAGCTGCTTGGGCGCATTGATCCCGTGTAGGATGGTGCCAGCTGCCAACAGAAGTCGGGTTTAAAAGAGCGGCTGCCTGCAGCTGACAACTGGCCCCTGTTCTGTTGTCATCCATCTTCACAAGACAGGTTGAGACCCAGCCCTTTCAGATTTTCCATGCAATGCATCTTCCCTGCCTGCTTTGTCTAGGCATTTCTTCGCCATCCAGCCCTCCTTCTTCTTGTGCATCTTGGTGGCAAAAGACTTGGGCGGAAAGCCTTGCAGGAAGGGTTGGCCAAGAAGGGCGCCCACAATCGCTCGTGCTGCATACTTCCTGCTTCATGCTTTTGGCTTGGCTACTAGCCTGTAACCTGATATTATCTAAGGTGCGAGACTTGCGCAAGGACAACGGGGGAACCGACTTACGACTTGTGGTTGGGATCTCCCATTTCAGGGGCCATGGTCGATAGCAATGGGAAAACGTGGTTGAAGCTGCGGATTGTTTTGATGACAAGCGGCCTCAGTGCGCTGTTAAGTCTCGATCAGCGGGTCAGCTGAACAGCACAGGGGAGCGGATCAGCTGATCAGCGGATCAGCGGACCAGCGGACCAGCGGATCAGCGGATCAGCGGACCAGCGGATCAGCGGATCAGCGGACCAGCGGACCAGCGGATCAGCGGACCAGCGGATCAGCGGATCAGCGGACCAGCGGACCAGCGGACCAGCGGATCAGCGGATCAGCGGATCAGCGGACCAGCGGACCAGCGGACCAGCGGATCAGACAGCCCCACGATCATAAGTCGACCATAGTGATCCATAGGAAGATGAGGCTACCCTGGTTGGAGCTTGTATATACAGTATATTTGTGCATTCTCACATACCACGAGGAGTGTGCAGATACTGTGTACTTGTGGAAGGAACGCACTTCAAAGCAGCCATCGCATACCACAGGGTGTGCGCATAGCACGTTTGACGTTTTTAAAGCCATTTTGACATGCAGTGTTGAAAGCTTTGGAGGAGTATGGAGTTTATGGCTAGAAAGATGTTTTCCTCTTTTCCTGCGCGACAAGCGTCGACGTATGTCAGAACCTCCTACGCGGCACTCTGAGCCGACATCACCGGCTCACAGCCAAAGAGGCCAAACTTTTTTGTTTGAAGTGCTGGATGAGTTGGTGTGAGGATAAATTGTATCCAACGGGGCAGGTGATACCACATGGAAATGGTTCAAAATGATTGCCCCATCGGGATGATTTAATGCAAAAGTGGCCGATTTTTTGGGTCCAGTGACATCCCGTTTCTGAGCCATACCGATATTCATGAAGCATGTGTTTCTCAGCGATGTTTGCTTCAGTGGCCAGTGCCAAGTTCGGCAGTTGTTGCCGCACTGATTGTGGAAGTAAACTCTTTTGGAGAAAGGTCTTCAGTTTGGCAGTTTTACTACAAATGACATAATATATGACATAATGTCATGACAGGACTGACATAAATGAACCGTTGATCCAGGCAATGAAGAAATGCATCAGACCGGTGTGTCATTCCCCGTGTTCTCTCCGAAGATCAATGAGCCACGGATTTGCTAACGTCTCCGGTGGCAAGCAGTCCATCTCCCCTTGGCACCCAGGCGGAGATTTGGTGATTAATTTGGGGAAAATGTTGGGTGATTGAGGATGCTGCCACATGTCATGTTGGGAACCTTTGGGAACCAATTATATATATATATATTATATATATATGCACTTATTATGTAAACATGTATTGTCAGTATATGTCAGTATATATTATACATATCCCATGTAGTTGTTGTTTAGTTATGATGATAGTTATGCAGTTATGCCCAATGATATTCACAATTCTTGGGCTTTCCCCGCAGGCCATGCAGAAGTCACACTCGCTCACTCACTCACTCCCTCCCTCCCTCGCTCACTCACTCCACTCCACTCCACTCCACTCCACTCCACTCCACTCCACTCCACTCCACTCCACTCCACTCCACTCCACTCCACTCCACTCCCCTCCACTCCACTCCACTCCCCTCCACTCCACTCCACTCCACTCCACTCCACTCCACTCCACTCCACTCCACTCCACTCCACTCCACTCCACTCCACTCCACTCCACTCCACTCCACTCCACTCCACTCCACTCCACTCCACTCCACTCCACTCCACTCACTCACTCACTCACTCACTCCCTCACTCACTCCAGAGGCTGAGCTGTCAAGGCTGTGGGGTGATCACCACTGGTGGACAAAAGTTGTGATGCAATTTCAGCTTGGAAAGACATCCACAAAAATGCCTGAAAACTTTAAGATTCAAGACATTTGGGATTTCATTTTGCATGCCAAATTTTTCGTTGCCGGATTCGTGACAGGCTTTGTTTATGAGCTTGGTTTCTGCGCTGGTAGTGATGTTGCTTGGAAGAACCCTGTGGCCACTTCGCATTGTTGGTCGGGAAGTGGATGATGAATTGTACATGATTCAAAAGATTGGAGCGTGCCAAATTAATCATCATTATAATTCATTATATATAGAATGGGCTAGCGCGCGGGTGCTGCCGACCCCCTTTTCTTTGGCATTTGAGGCCTTAACAACAGAGGGCAGTGGCCTGAGTGCCTGGTCGAAGCTGCCGCGCAGCGTTTTAGGCATTTGAGGCCTGGCAAACGGCAGGCTTGAACGCCCTTAACAACAGAGGGCAGTGGCCTGAGTGCCTGGTCGAAGCTGCCGCGGAGCGTTTTAGGCATTTGAGGCCTGGCAAACGGCAGGCTTGAACGCCCTTAACAACAGAGGGCAGTGGCCTGAGTGCCTGCTCGAAGCTGCCGCGCAGCGTTTTAGGCATTTGAGGCCTGGCAAACGGCAGGCTTGAACGCCCTTAACAACAGAGGGCAGTGGCTCGAGTGCCTGCTCGAAGCTGCCGCGCAGCGTTTTAGGCATTTGAGGCCTGGCAAACGGCAGGCTTGAACGCCCTTAACAACAGAGGGCAGTGGCCTGAGTGCCTGCTCGAAGCTGCCGCGCAGCGTTTGAGGCATTTGAGGCCTGGCAAACGGCAGGCTTGAACGCCCTTAACAACAGAGGGCAGTGGCCTGAGTGCCTGGTCGAAGCTGCCGCGGAGCGTTTTAGGCATTTGAGGCCTGGCAAATGGCAGGCCTGGCAAACGGCAGGCTTGAACGCCCTTAACAACAGAGGGCAGTGGCCTGAGTGCGGTAGGCTTGAACGCCCTTAACAACAGAGGGCAGTGGCCTGAGTGCCTGCTCGAAGTGTGAGATTTCCACCAGTCCTTGCTCGTTTGGGTTTTGATACAAATCCCCTATCCACATCTGTTCCTTTCATCCTGTTCTATACTTGTATATTTTTCACATTTTCATCTGCACACGATTGTGTTACGCAGCAGAATTTTGCCAATGATGGTGTAAAGAAATAGAAACGTTCTGTTTGCCCGTTTTTTTCGCCATTGGTGCTGTGTTTTCGCAGTTGGTGGCTCAAGTTGCAGTGTCCAACATTTACCCCCAACCTGGATGCCGCCAGTGGCATTATTTTTTTGTGCCGTCATGGTCTTCATGTTTTTGTCTCCACGCAGCGGCCGCGCACACGTCAATGTTGTTTCTAAAACTGGGCAGGCAATGAGCCGAAAATTTTTTATGCTAGAAGAACCTTGGGTTCTTGATCTTGCTGAACGGCATGGTTTGCGAGATGTTGTGGAGGAGCAGCGGGAACGCAAGCGGCTCGCTGACTGCAGAGAGAAAGAATTCAAAGGGATCTCCCCAATCATGTGTCTCGTTTCTCTTTCTCCTGGAAAACTTGGGCATGGAATTTTGACGGATTGGACAGCGGAGGAAGAATATTACCGCAAAGCGTTCTTTGATACGCCAGAAAGTACATCGTACCATTCGATTTTTTCTTTACGCGTTGACAAGGTCCTCTCATTTCGCAGGCCAATTCCCACCCATTCGCCGCAAAGGTTTCATTCAGATTTTTGGGAGCCAGGAAAATTTGATTTGGAACAAATCCTCATGTGGAGCGGGAAGACCCGCGAGGAACTCGAATTCCACTTTGGAAAATCAACAGAAGAAATCAAGGTTTTCTTGCAGAAACCCATGGCGCTTCGGGTACCAATATTGTTGTGTCACTTGATTGCGAAAGGCGCATGGAGGGCAATTGTTTTGAATGGAGGTGATTTGGGGAAAAGGGGAGCACACGAGCCTTTGCATATAGCGTTTCAAAAAACTTTGGGCGGCTTTCCCCCCGCAGAATGGGTGGATCACGCAAGAGCGGACCAAAAGCGGAAACGCAGCGAAGAGGAGGCCAGAGAGCTCAGATTCCGGCCCACTGATGCGAAGGAGCTTGCAAGTTTTTTGCGTTCTTGGAGCGGCAGAATTTTGCCGCAAGCCACTGATGAGACGCGCCAAGAGTTGCAAATGATGTTGGAGGAGAAAGTGATGCGGCTAGACAGCTTTGCAGGAAACAATAAGCGCCTTTCTAGATCAGATTTTGGCCCAGAAGAATTGTTGCACGCGCTGTGTGCTGCCATGGGGGTTCGAGACAGATCAAAATTAGCGGAAATTTTCCGCCATCTTTTGCAATGCCGGAGCGGGCCAAATACTTTGTCCGACCTTGGCGAAGACCCAGGAATACCATCGCCTGCCGTGATCAGCCGCGCGCAGATTCGCATTGACGCTGCGCTGTGCGGGTTTTGGAAGGAGAGATTTGCGGCTTGGATGGAAAACACACATGTATCTTTCAATCCTGCATCTTCTGATTTGTGTGTTTTCTTGTGGGCGGATTCTTCCCCGCAGGCAGGAACAGATTGGTTGCTGACACAAATGCGAATCATCCCGCCTGGCAAGCTTTCCTCTTGCGTGGCTGCTGCCGAACTGCTGCAAGATTCAGCTGCTGCACTTGTTTCTATAGCGCAGGAGCAGGAGCAGTCCTCAGAATCAGTCTTGCAGGCAAGCAATGGTTCACTATGGAACTTGGTGCAAGAGAGGCACGAAGCAGGCCTTGCAATTCAAGACGCAATCTTAAG